TCCTAGATCTTGTCGTAGGTCCTAATTGATTTAACTGCTTTTTAATTACGGCTTCCTCTGCTGTTTTGATGTTGTGTTTATGGAGGATCTTACTGATTCTGTCTGTGGTGCCTTTTATGTATGGGATTCGCATTCAAACAACATCAAAACAGCATTCTGCACAAACAGAAAAATATCCACCATCCTTAGAAACCCCAAAGATAAAATTGAATTAGAAGGAGTATACGAAATCCCATGCACCACTTGTCCCATCACATACATCAGACACACCAACAGAAGAATAAGTGCACGCATTGAAGAACATAAGAACTCAGTCAAAAAAGAGGAACCAACATCTTCCCTGGTCCAACACCTTAAAGCCACAGGACATGAAATTGACTTTAAAAATACCAGAACCATTGCCAAAAGTGAACATTTTAATAACAGAATAATCAGAGAAGCCATCGAGATAGAAAAACGCCCACACAGCATGAACAAGCGAGATGATACCTCCCGCCTACCAGCCATTTGGAAACCCGCCCTTATTGACAAACGACTCCCTAACACAAAAAATGATACCAGACCCACACTCACAAAAACCACACAGGATGTCACCACCACACATCCACGCAAAAAACAAACCCAAAGCCACACCGATGACGAGGCACGACCACAAACCAGAAGCCAGACCACAGCTGAATCATTAGCCACTTTAAACCCCTCCAATCCATACATGAAGCAAACTGACACCCTCCATGAAGAGGAGGCACGACCACGAACGAGAAGCCAAAAAATAGCAAGGCAGCCCAAAATCTTAAACCCCTCTGCAACTCAGACTAACCTGAGCACAACCAAACAGAACACTCCCCCAGCCAATCAGAGCACAGCCAAGCCCCTAACCATTCAGAACACACCTCCACCCAATCAGAACACAGCCAAGCTCCCACCCAATCAGTTCATACCCCCACTGGCAGTTAAAAGGAAGAAACAGCTAAGACCACACATTGCTGCTCAAAGCACGAAGCTGAAAACACCAGCCTGAAGATGACGAATGGGACTTCGTCGAAACGTCGCCAAGACACTTCCAATTTTATGCGGGAGAAAACCCGAACAACCAAAGACCTACATACAAATACCCGCGAAAACCTCAGAAAACATATATATATAAAAGAAGTCATGATGTCATTTCAGATTCATGAAAACCCTCCATTTGACTAAGAGGCAGTTCTGGCAGCCTAAGATAAATAAGGACAGAGAGAGCTATGATGCAGTGAGCCTTGTATGTACCTCAATGAAATGATTGTCAGGGAAGCCTTCTGGACTTCTGCAGCCGGTGGCCCAACCTAACAGTCCATGGGAAGAGATCGCCATGGACTTTGTTGTGGAATTGCTTGAGAGTGTAATTTGAACTGTGGTCAACCTGTTTTCGAAGCAAGTGCACTTTGTGGCATCCTTTATCCCAGAATTTGGCCAAAATGTTTGTGCAGCATGTGTATTGGCTGCATGGAGTCCCAAGGCACATCATCTCCGACCAGGGAGTGCAGTTTAGTGGAAAATTTTGGTGAGAGTTTATAAAATTAATAGGCTCCTCCCAGGGACTTAGGGTTTCATCCGAGTACTAATGGATCAGCTGAACAGATCAATGCATTAGTAGAGCAATACTTGCGTTGCTATCTGAACTATCAGCAAACTAATTGGGTGGAGCCCCTGCCTTTCACAGAAGTGGCTTATAATAACTCAGTCCATAGTGGCACTGGCTCACCCCATTCAAAGTAGCCACTGAACTGGAGTTTGTACCCATGCCAGAGCTTTTAAGGAAACCTCCCTCCTCAGTATCGCTAGCTGAATGGATGGATACCCTTAAAGCCACCTGGGGGAGGTCAGAAGGCACTAAATAAAACCAAGGAGTCACAAAAGAAGCAGGCTGACTGGAAAAGGGCTCCCCAAATTGTTTGGATTATAAGCCCAGTTACAGTTGAACTGTGGTTACCGAAAGTCTTAAGACAGGTCCATCTGGTGTTCCACTGTAGCCTGTTAAAGCCATTTCAAGGAACCTGAGGCCAGTTGGAAAAGAGCTCCCTCCTCCTGTTATGGTGGGCAGTGAGGAACACTATGAGATTGAGAAAATACTGGACTCAAGATATCGTATTTTCCGTATAAGACGACTTTCTAACCATGAAAATCTTCTCAAAAGCCAGGGGTCGTCTTATACGCCCAGTCGTCTTATACGCCGGAAAATACAATACTTTAAGGGGAAGTCACAGTACTGAGTGCAGTGGAAAGGCTATCCCTCAACTGATGCCCTTTATGTTAGTGCAGACAAGTTAATAAGAAGGTTCCATGCCAAATATCAACGTCCAAAGAGATGATTGAACACTAAGGATTTTGAGTAATGATGTTTTTGTGTTTAATAATATTTTTCTAGGTCTCCCTTCCTTCAGGACTGAATCACTATATTGATTCTAGTTTCTAACGCTAATCATCTTGCTAAGAAAAAGGGGATGTGGAAGCAAAGGGAGGAAATAGAATGCAAAGAGCCATTCACAAACCATGAGAGCACGCAAAACACCAAGGTCACTGCTGCAGGTGCTTGATAGAGAAGTGGACTATTCCCATACCAAAAAGAAGTTTTACCATTGGACAAGATGAACACCCGAGGGGTGGGAACCAGGGACCCTTTTATTTAATTTTGTAAGCTTTCATGTGGGAAATCCCAGAGCTGGTTTTGCTTCTCCAGTTCTGAGATGGTATATCCAATAAAGATTTATCTTTTGGGATTCAATTGCCCAGAGGATTCCATTTTTGCGTGCGTTTGCTAGTCAGACCATTGACATTAACAAAATAAAAATAATCAAACTAAGTCTGGCATAAGAGTGTCACGGAATACACAACACCCTCTGTAATTTTGGTTACAGGGCTTGTAGTATAAAGCAGACCTTTAATTTGCTGTTGAGGGCAGTCCCAGATGAGATCATATTCCTGCACCACAGCCAGCCAGACAGTAACTGGGCTCCATGATACACCAAGCCACAAAATGCTGGCGTCCTCAACTAGGAAGAAGAAGAAGATGGGAGGACAAGAAGGCAGATGTGAACGTATAAGTGGAATGAATTACAGCAGCCCTTTCAAAGTCAAGAGTTGCATTCTGAGTTGGGTTGAAAAATCACTGGTAATCATCTCCCAGTTTCAACCAGCATTTGTAGCTGGTTGAAACTGTAGCCACATTTCATGCCAAGTTTGGATTATTCTATTTCTTATGTTCTGTGCCCTCAGGTTCTGACTCAATTGCAATACAGACTACCCCAGGCACTCAATTACCCCTCACCCCAGCAATTCCTCCAGGGATCTCTGCATTTCATCAAAGGGGGCAACTTCTGAGGAAGCAGCAGGACACTGAGCAAGGCTTGACTACAGCTGTGTATACTCAGCAGAGAGAAAGTTGTTCTAGAAACAAGGGTATCTTACTAAGAAGCAGTTCCAGCATCTGGCTTGTGTATTGAGACACTTGGGATCTTGTTATTTACAACACAGCTTGTTGATTTACTATGACCTTGTCTCTCCTTTGATTTGGCATGTAAATCTTTGGCTTGACTTTGGACTGCTGGACTTGGAAATTCGCCTGGCCTAGCTAAGTCTCATCTATAATTAATTGCTGCTTCCTGCCAGCCTTGCTGTTTTGGATTTGCAGAGCAAGTCTTCCCCTTAATACGCCATCTGCCTAGGAACTGTGCCCATCTTCTGAAGGAGTGCTTTAAAAAGCCAAGATGCAAAACTCAGATTCTGGTTCAGGCTCAGGTTATGTAGGACTGAAAGATAACCCAATGACTCCAGAACCATCTCCCACCCCAAAGGAACATACCTGCTCTGTTTTCTCTAGATTCTGCTCCAGCATAAAACCAAAAAGATCGTAATAGCAATGTCCCTTTCTTCTTTTTAATTTGAAGAACATTTTGAAATTAAAGAACCTGATTGTAATCTGTATAATACAGTTTTCATTTAAGGGATCCTTGGTGCTCTTTGGGCTTGGTTGTTTTCTTGCATTTTTCATTTACTTTAAAATTACCATAATTACCAAAAGGAAGTCGATCCTAAATTTAAGATGTTCCTCTTCGAATAAAGAAAAAAAACACCAAAATATAAGAATCCTGTGCAATGTTCAATTTCCCAAACCTGTTAACCAAGGCTTGCCAATTCTGTCTTAAACCAAATTAACTGCCTATAAAATAAGGCATCCCATATGTAAATTTAATCTCCCAATAATATCTACATACACAAACTGTGCATTCACTGTTTACACACTCAAACCAACATACATCTCCTTTCTCCTTGTGGGAACAGAACTGGAAAAAAGAGGAAAGGGTTAGTACTCCAAGAAGGGAAGGAAAAAGAAAAGGAGAAATGAAATGAAGGCAGGTTAGAAGAGGAATTATGTAAACTTCAAAAATTTTTGTGCTGGGCTCAGCAAGCATCAGCCTAATAGCTCTTCCTGCCAGGTCACCATCTTTAGAACTTTCGAGATGGTCCTTCCCTCCTCTTCAGGAGAAAAGGAGTGCATGCCATGGGCGTAGGTGCATGTTAAGATGGAAGGGAGAGAAGTCTCTCCTAGGTCAACCCTCCCAGGTAAGCTAGACTGGGAACACGACCAGATGAGACCATTCTACTTTTTGTAAAGCTACATTAACAGACTCTTGCAAGTCTGTCATTTTCCTAAGCTTCTTTCTCTGACCATTAAACCACTTGGGGCTTCTCCCTTACTTATCTGATCATTCCCTCCTTCCCCTCTTCTTTCAAGACCGTTCTCACATACCATGACATCTTCCTCTCTGGAGGGAAGGTCTTCACGTGGAGTGAGTTTCTATTCAGGCAAATGTGCAACAACCTTCTTTTTTTCCACATAGTTTTTTTGGAAAGCAACTCAGCTTTTTTTAAAATAACAGCATCTGTCTTACTTACTGTACAGGCCTTCATCTTGAAATGCATTAGAAACAACACTAGAGCAAAAAGCATTGTCAGTTACTTACTTTATCTTCTGGGTTCTGTTCCCCTGGGCATTGGCAGCAGAAATAGTTGCATTGGAAATCTGGATCTCTGAAGATACGTTGCTGGCTTCCTCGTGGGTCAGCTCCATAAAAGTGCCATTAGCAGCGTAAGCCAGTAGGTCATCACTGTCGTCATAATCAACATAAAGACGGTCTATTTCAGGCCCAAAGGTGTTGCTGGGGTTTACTGGAGAAAAAATACTGTTCAGGGTCTTGTTCCAGATGGATTCTTTCGAATCTGATCTCTTTTCCCCAAAGCTGTGGATGATTGTATTTTCTAAAAGGAACTCTTGGGAAGGGGGTAGGGAGTCCAGTTCACTTCTATTTCCTTCTACCTTATAGTTGGTTTTAGTTGTGTTTGATTCTGGAATGAGAAGTGGAAAAAAATCAAAGGTAACTGAACAATTGACCAAATTCAAAAAGTGAAATGGAAAATGTCAGATGGGCTACACCTCAGACTCCCAATGTTCTACTGTGCTAATCCAGAAAACTCTTGATGTAAGGATTGTAAATCCAACTCTTATAATTCCATAATGTAGATGGAGACTTCTGAGGTTGAGAGATAATGCTGGGTTCACATAGTATATCCCATGGTTTTGCTGTAAAAATAAAACTTGATAATCTAGAGCAGGGGTAGGCAACCTTGGCTCTTTTATGACTCGTGGACTTCAACTCCCAGAATTCCTGAGCCAGCTGGCTCAGGAATTCTGGGAGTTGAAGTCCACGAGTCATAAAAGAGCCAAGGTTGCCTACCCCTGATCTAGAGTTACTTGGCCCAGAGTATCTACAGCTCTGGACATGGCTCAATTTGATCCAGTTACTTCAATGTGATTCATCCAGATTTGGAGGAAAATTTAGTAACAAAGGGCTCTGTTTCTAGCACAATATTGGAACAATACAAACAGCAGAAACTTTTTCATTTAAACTCTTCAGATTATTCTAAGGGGATAATAAAGCACGGAAATACATGCAGGTTCCCACCTTTGAAAAAAGTGCCCATAATTTGCTCCAGCAAAGCATGTTGTTTGTTACAATAATAGCCATTAGGATGAAAAACATGCTTGCTAAATAGATTGATGAAATAGGTAAAGGGTCGAGTTTTTTTGACAAGGAATAGTGTGCCTCTTCCTGAATGAGATGACCAAAGATTTTTCTGGGATGGGGAGACGTATAAGAAATTTGGGGGAATGCACAAGCCATGGAGGCACTTGGTAACGGCCACTTGAGCGTAAGAAAGGATAGTAATGTTATGTGGCCCAAAGATTCCAGAAAGCCACCCAGAATATGGGGGAGAAGCTGTAAAAAAGTGGAAGGCAGGAGCTGAAGGGTGAACTTTGTTCAAAAGGAAGAGTTGACACAAAGGGAAGTATGGTGTTCCATGTGAAGGAAATGCACATGTGTACTGAGATCAGGAATCTGGGGGTCCAGCCAGAGCACCTGGGTAAGGATAGAAGGGAGGGGAACATATTCTTGGGGTAGAATTAGAGATTGCCAAACTAGGCAGATGACCTGGAGAAAATCCTCCTGGATTAATTTCTAAATGTTTGTGGAAGGAAGACACAGTAATAACAGGCGAGTTCAACTACTTGGACATCTGTTGGAAAACCAGCTCAGCCAAAATGGCAAGGTCCCAAACTGTTTTTCCGTGGCCTTGCTGACTTTTATTTTGTGGCAGGCTGATGAAAAACAAGGAGATTGATTCTCCTAAGATCCATTTGTAATCACTGGGAAAGTACTAGGATTCTTGCAAGGAAGTGATTCTCTTTTCTTGGAGTCCTAGAGAAAGGGGAACTGCTCATACCTTCCCCCAGATTCAGGAAATCCAATTGCAACAAGCTTAAGCAGAATCCCGAGGGATGCCAAAACTAAGGAGAAACTTCCTGACAGTTAAAACAATTAACCAGTGGAACAACCTGCCTCCAGAAGTGGTGAATGCTCCAACAGTTTTTGAGACTGGACAGTCATTTGTTCGAAATGGTATAGGGTTTCCTGCCTGAGCAGGGGGTTGGACTAGATGACCTCCAAGGTCCCTCCCAACTTTATTATTATTATGGATCACCGCACAGTCAGCCAGATGTTCAGACTGGATTTGGCATTTTGTCTATCTATCGAGTCCTTACCCAGGACCTGGGATAGGCAGATGTGGATGTTTGATGGTATTACAGATATCGTCGTAGGATGGAAGCAGTTCCTAATAAGGCTGCCTTTTGCAATTGACTAATAGTGAATTTGTCAATGCCAATGGTGTTCAAGTGGTGCTCCAGTTGTTTTGGAATTGCACCCAAGGAGCCTATTACTATTGGTACTACCCTTGCTTGCTTTTGCCACAGTCTTTCTATTTCTATTTGTATGTCTTTGTATTTTGTTATCTTCTCCAGTTCTTTCTCTTCTATTCTGCTATCTCCAGGCACTGCCACATCCACTATACAGACTTTTTTGTCTTTCTTATCGACAATTGTTAAGTCTGGGGTGTTATGTTGCAGGTGCTTGTCTGTTTGAATTCTGAAGTCCCAGAGCAGTTTAACTTTATCATTTTCTATGACTTTCTCTATTTTATGATCCCACCAGTTCTTGCTTACAGGCAAATGATATTTCTTGCAGATCTTCCAATGTACCATTGTTGCTACTTTGTCATGCCGCTGCTTGTAGTCAGTCTGTGCGATCTTCTTGCAGCAGCTTACCAGGTGGTCCACTGTTTCTTCAGCTTCTTTGCATAGGCGGAACTTCCTGTATTTTGCACCCCATCCTGCCTGGATGGGGTGCAAAAGGCTTTGCCACCCCCAGGCGAGGCTGAGTGGCATCAGAAGCCTTCCATCTTTGGTTCCGGATGGCGTGGCGCACAATCTGGGGATTCATCTGGACCTAGCTTTGGCTAGGAGGGCTTTGTGCAATTTCCGGTTGTGCATCAGGTGTATTTGTTCGTGACCCAGAGAGGGGAGAGGGTTTCTTCTCATGATCACTCATGCCTCAATCCCCTCCCACTTGGATTACTTTACATGGGCTGCTCTTGAGAAATACTTGGAAGCTTCAGCTCCTGCTCCATGAACTACATTGGCTCCCAATGTGCTTCTGGCCACAATTCGGTTTCGACTGTCAACTTTAAAGCTTTTCAGGGCTTAGGCCTGGATGGTCTCTGTTCTATTGCTTCTACCTATCCTGTCTGGTCTATGAGAATAGCAATGAGAGTACATCAAAACCTTTGTGTTGTGCTGAAATATCAAATGGTATATTGCAGGCTACGGTTTAGGCTCTGTGCAGTTCAACATATTTATAATGATCAGGGTTTAGAAAACAAGATTATATTTGCAGATGTCACAAATGTAGGGGCAACAGAAAACACTTTAAAAGATAGCTCAAAATTCAGGAGGATCTTGATAAAGTGAAACATTTCACCTCTAATCTTTCTCTTAATTAGGCTAGACATACCTATTTCCTTCAATCGTTCATCATATGGTTAGATCCAGATCCCTTAACTACTTGAAGATTATTATGCAAAATGATGAGGAAGCAGATTTCAATTGGAGATAGGAGGAATTTCTAAGTGATAAGAGACCTTCAGCAATGGAACATAGTACCTTGTCAGGAAAGGTGGAGTCCCTGTTGCTTAAATTCATTTTGGCAGATGTTGTTGAAGCTGATTTAGAAATGGATCCTGTGCTGGGGAGTGGGGGGAGGTCCTAGATAATCTCCAAGATTCCTTCCATTGCATTCTGTGGCTCCATCTTTATTTACTGTAGTCTTTTCTCATTTTTAATTGGATAACTTTCTTAATAGATGATGGGAATGATTTACATAGATTTGGGCTTCACCAAAGCATTTAGTAGGGCATACTGTTAGAGAAAAATAGGACTCTAGTGGACAACCACTTAAATATAAGCTAGCAATGTGCTGCAACTGCCAAAAAAACCAATGTGGTCCAAGGCTGCATCAACAGAGGGATAGTATCAAGATCATGAGAAGTTATAGTACTCCCTTGCCACTTTGTTATGATGATATGTTGATTAGCAAGGAAATTAAATGTGATCTGGATGGCATGATAATTGAGTGGATAGCTCAAGAACTATACCAAATAGACTTATTAATGGTTTCTCATCAAACTGGGCAGAGGCATCCAGCGAGGTGGCCCAGGGCTCAGTGCTACTTTTCAAGCATTATTTGGATATGGAGGTGGCAGGAATACTTGTCAGATATATAAAGGGTATAAAAATTGAGTGATTGTGTCAGAACCCTCATTTATTAATCCCCCCATTTTAGATATTCTTTGTGCTTTAGCCGTAGTGTTCTGCCATTCTCCCTGGGGGGGTGGAGGGGGGGAAAAGAGTTTGTAGTGTTTTTAGTGCATGCTTCATCTGCTTTGATGTATCCTCTTTGGGGTGTGAATGGAATGCCTCGGGGCCATCTGCCTTATCTCAGTGAGGAGGGAGGAAATTGAGAAGACCTGAGAATCTTGAGAGAGGTGACATCGGTCCATTTCCCACAGCTCATTGTCACCTATGGATTGGCCTGTTTGAACCAACCAGATGGACAGTTGGGGTGGTTATTATTACATGGGCGAGAAACCCTCAGATTCTGCCTAGCTTTCCTGCTGTCTGTACCTGCCAATAAAAGTTCCTTTTGAAATAAATTCTACTTTTTGGGTAAGGAAACGGAGGCGGGTCCTTACAGATTGGGTTAATACTGGAGAAAACAGAAAATAATTCAAAACAATCTGGACAGCTTAGAACAGTGTTTCATGCTCTTTGGGAAATTCTGGAAGTCCATACATCTTAAAATGGCCAAGACTTAGAAACACTAGCTTTGAGAAATGAACCGAAAGCAACAGAACAATGCTTAATGTTTCCCACTTGAAAACAGAAATCAAACACTTGGCTTGCTACTCATGAAAATTTTGGAACAGTAGTTGACGGCAAAATGAATTGCCAGCTGTGCAATATGGTGGCAAAGAAGGCAACATCAATCCAGACAATTTTGGCCACATCAATCTAGATAGTTTCCAAAGCTCTGAAAGTCACTGTTTGTTTGTCCAAGTGAGGGTTGGGCAGGCATCTGTGTGGGATGCTGTAATCTGGATCCATTCTCAAGGGCCATCCAGCTTGAGGGGTCCCTGAAATTTACACCAATGGAAATGAAAAATACAGCTTGAACGTCTTAACTGGAAGAAGGCCTTTCCAGCAAGAGCTTCAATGGCCATGAAGCAGGACCTCCACAAGGAGAAGCCTGCCCTTAGCTTTGGGTTACTCACCTGTGGAGATCTTGCTCGGGAGGACAGGGCCATACTCAAGTGGGGTCCTAGGGTAAACTTCATTGGTCTGCTGCATCTTGCTCAGCTTCAGTTCATCCCCTCGCCCTTGCTGGTCAAAGAGTAGTTTCTCCAGGTGGCCCTTTTCTTGGGAGAGGGTGGCCAGCAGGCTGGTGTTGAGCTGAGCGAGCCCCAAAAGAAATCCTCCTTCAAACTCTGTTTTTTCTTCACTATCTGATTCAGAAAAGCCATAGTAAATTGGTGGCAGGTTTTTCAAATGAGGTCTTGTCTGCAGGATGTATTCATATGTTATTGATGGATTTTTACCATTTTGGTTCCAAACCTGGAGGAAAGGGGGAAATGCCACAGCCTTGTTATGTAAAGCAAAGGAGGGGACATAGCTCTTAACAAGGCAGAAGTTCAAAGGCCCCAATTCTGCCAAGCAGAAGAAGCCACAGATCCAAATGCCAAACATCTCTCTCATCACTGGAGGATGCAAGGTGACAGGCCTGTCAGGGAGAATGTCCACTCTGCAACGTTGGCCCTTCCACAAAGTGCACTGGGCACAAGGAGGATCACAGACCATAGAACAGGAGGTAACTTAGGGGCCACACAATGCTGCCCATGTTCAAGGCAAGATCTGTTAAAGCCTTTTAGACTGATTATTTGTTTGTTCAGATTTATATGTCCTACTAACTGTGAGTGGCTAACAGCCACACCAAAACTAGACCAATCAGTAAATTATAGTAATTAATACCCCACCCTTCATTGTCCTCCAGTGCTCTTTTGAAGAGCCAGGTTTATCCCAGTCTTTGAAGGAATAATAAAGGGGAAGAGACCTAGATACCAAAGCAGGCTGTTCCACAGGAGAGAGGCCTTTCAAAGACAGCCCAACAGAAAAGTGACACCCCACCCTTTGAAATGCGTTACATGAATCATAACTATCTAGGCCATGGTTTCTCCCCCATGGTTTCTCCCCATTCTGCCAGATTCAGTGGCAAAAGCATGTTTTGGGTCTCCTCAGTCAACAAGGGTGACTTGATCAGTCCTTCCCTATGGAACAGCCCCTCTCTAAAGAGGCTGAGGCCCCAACGATGCTGCCAAGTTCTGGTCACCACAATTCAAGAAGGATTCTGGAAAGTGTGCAGAGAACATTAGAAATAACGGTGAGGGGCTTGTAGGCTAAATCCTATTATGAATAGTTAAAGAAACTGGGTACAGTATGTTTAGTCTGAAAAGAGCTACAAGAAGACACAATAACAATTTTCCAATGCTTCAAGTATCCTCTGAGGAAAGAGAAAGCGGATTTATTCTGTGGAATGCAGGAGTGTAGGAGAAGAATCAGCCTGTGGAGAGAGGGATCCAAACTCAAATTAAGAAGGAATTTCCTGACTATGAAAGTTGTTAAACAGTTGAACAGCCTTCCTCTTAAAGCTTTCATCACTGGAGGTTTGAAGCAAAAATTGGATCACCATTTGTTTGGGATGGCTGGGGGATTCCTGCCCCGGGCAAGGTGTTTGGGCTAGAAGATCATCAGAGTATCTTCCAACTATATGATTCTACAATGTATTTTCTATGTTTGCATACTGCTAACAAGACATTTATGCACTGAAAGATATTCATATGTTCCAAGAATCAAAACTTACCATGATGTTTAAACCCTGATTGGTAGGTCCCTGGGCAACGATATATTCTATGCCTGTCTCAAAAATGTCCATTGGTCTCCTGTATTTGAAGATGGTCCCTGCAATATTGAAGTTTTTGGGGATGTCTACTCTGAAATCCCCGTTGAAGAAGTAAGAACCACCTTCATCTGCAATAGCTACAAAATCCACAAAGAGAGGCCATGATTTGTACGATGGGAGTTACTGAAAGATGGACCAACCCCCACTTTCTTTTCTGTACAGGTCACAGATGATAGTGCTGCTCTGTGATGCTCTTCTGTGTAATGGCCATTGAATGAAATAACACCCCAATTACCCAGCCCACCATGGGAATCTGTATCATGACTAGGGTTTCATGATCAGTGTTAGCAAGAGGAAGTTGGGGAGCAGATTATTGTTTTGAGGAGAGGCCAGACATGTTGCTAAGAAAAAAGGGCACAGGAACAAGAAAAATGTCAAGCAAGCAAGCAAGGTGAACTTGGAGATTTTATGATCATGAAACCAAAAAGATCAGGGTAGGATTAGGTTACAATAAAAATACTTTGCTTCCTAAGAAGAATACAAGAAATAAAGGTTTTATTGGTTATTGTTCTAGATATAATACAAACCCAAAACATCAGCAGATTTCTTCCTTTCAACTATCTGGATATCTCTTGCTCCAGCAGGAATGTGAGTCACCAAAGAGTATCCTGCAGAACAGTGCACTTATGAGTAAGAAGCAAATCACCACAGTGGTTACAATCACCAGGAGGAGGGGATGGGATCCTCCCTCTGCTTGGCCTCCCTCCCTACCCAAGGCTGAACTTGCTCAGGGCTAAAGCCGTCCCCAAGGTCCCCCCCCCCGCCTTACCAAGCGGAGCATTGCCCTTCCGGTAGCTCCCTGTTACATGAGTGCAGCTGCTGCCGTTCCCTTGGCAGACCCCGCATTTATCCAGAACGTGGGGGGAGAACAGAACCCCATCACATCCAATGGGCTAGAAGCAGCAGAAAGAAAGTGCCTTGAGAGGCAGCCAGAGCAGCTGGGAGAATTCTACAGACAAGAGGGTAGCTAGAATGCTTAACAACCTCACATTTTCCAGACACGCACACCCCTCGGAAAGAAGAGGATTTGCAGGAGGTGCCATCTCGGGCCAGGACCATCAGCTGCCTCTGCCCATCGGTGGTGGTGCAGTGGAGATCACAGGGCTTGCTAGAGATGTGGACGTAGTCATCTGAAGGGAGAAGAGGGAGACCAAGAGTTGCTAAATAATCAGTGCAATTACCAATACAGTTTCTTTCTTTTTTTTTAGGTTATAAAACCTCCTTTGCGTCTGATACATGGAAAATGTATGTAGGAGGAGTTTGCATCAGTCAATCCTGCTAGCCTTGCCAGGTAGACCAGACAAGAAATATCTAGATGAGCTCATTCTACATAAATAGAATCACGAATGCCTGAAAGTACAATTCTCGCTATCTCCTTTACAGTCTGAGGAACTAAAGGGAGGGTCTCTTCTGACCCTCTTGCCTCACCCACTCTCCAGCTGCAGGCTATGCAGTCTGTTTTCTAGGCAGCCTCTCTTCACCCCATCTCCCAAGGTCTTTCCCACATACTCTTGCACAACTTGAGATGAATAGAATGGAATGGAATGGAATGGAATAGAATAGAATAGAATGAAGGAAGGAATGGAATAGAATGGAATGGAATAGAATAGAACTGGGACCTTGGAGGTCTTCTAGTCCAGCCCCCTGCTCAAGCAGGAGAACCTATACCGTCTCAGACAGGTAAATATTCAGTCTCCTCTTAAAAATCTCCACTGAGGGAGCTCCCACAATTTCTCGGAGTAAGCTGTTCCACTGGTTGATTGTCTTCACTGTCAGGAAGTTTCTCCTTAATTCCAGATTGTTTCTCTCTTTGATCAGTTTCATGACAAGGTCCTCATGGCTGTGATCTCAGCCACCTGTATGCCAGACCCATGCCCCTCCTAGTTGGTCAAGGCCCCCCAGGAGGATCCAGTAGTTGGGTCCAATTGGTGGTTAACGTCTTTTTGCAGCAAGGGGTGGTTGTGCCTGCCTTGAAGGGGATAGTGGTTCACCCCCTCCTAAAGAGCCATCTTTGGACCGGACTATATTGGACAACTTCCATCAAATCCCCACTATTTCTTATCTAGGATTAGGGTGAGGAAGAGGAGATTACCTTTCAACTCCAGGAGGCCTTAAATGAAGCGGATTATCTGGGGGCCCTGCAGTTAGGTAACAGTTTAAAACCGTGTTCATTGTCCTTGGGAATGAACTCTGGAGAGCTTGGGTGATCCAAGTGGCCTGGCCCTCTCAGCAGTTTTCAGTACCATTGACCATCGTAATCTTCTTGACCAGCTGTGAGAACTGGGATTCAGGCACTGCTTTGTAAGGGTTCTCCTCCTTTCGGGGTGGGGGGCAGTTCCAGCCAGGGCTGGTATATGGCAGAGGTCTAGCCCTGAGCTCCTAGAATGTGGGGTGCTGCAGGGCTGGGTCTCTTGCTGCTCCTTTTTAAGGTAGCAACTATGGCTGAGGCCTTTGCACAGATGCATCCCATGTGTCAACTCAACCTGTTCCTGGACTGGACTCTCACATGTCACTTCTTGGCTAGACTATTACAATGTGTTCCACCTAGCGCCGCCCTTGAAGACCTCACAGAAATGACAACTAGTCCAGAATGTGGCAGCTGGTGCAATGCTGAGCACCCCTTGGTTTGCCCAAGTGGCATCACTACTGTGTGAGATTCTTTCAATTTGCAATTCAAGGTGCTGGTTATCAATGAATGGCACAGAGCCATATTATTTGCAGACCCCTTCTCCCAGAGGGTACTGGCAATTCGTCCAGATTGGACAGGGTGGGTCTGCTCCACTCCCTTCCCATCTAAGGCTTTCAAAAAAGCCCTGTTCTCCTTAGCCACCACTGCCCTGTGGACACTCTTCCCCTGGAGAACAGCAGGGTCCACCCACTTAAGCTTCCTGAAAGCTAGCCAGTTGCATTTTACAAAATGGGTGGCTGTATAAATCTTTAAAATAAAAATAAAATAACAAAACACAAAGCACTTTGCACAGATTTTCCTTTTTCCTAGCCTCATTCATTTTAAACCTTCAACATTGCTCTGTGCTGCAAACACCAAAGAGCGCCACTTGGTTACCTGGATATAAAGGTTTCCAGTGGAAAGTGCGGCCGTTGTAGACCCGGGAGTTGAAGGAGGAACACTGCTCCTCCCGGAAGCTCCTTCCACTTGGAGGACATTGCTGGAAGAAAGAGAAATCCAGGTGAAGCCCAGGCAGCCCCTGCCCTGCTTGCTCCTCCAGCTGCCCACCTGCCTTCAAAAAACCAAGCTTGGGCATCACAATTAAAGGGGGAGTTTCAAAGAATACATACCTTCCAGTTCAAAGCCAAACAAAATCTCTAAATAGAGAAGTGTTAGTACAGGTAATCTTTGACATATGACCATTCATTTAATGACCAAAGTTACAACAGAGCTGAAAATAGTGACTTCAGATCCACCCCCTTCAGTTTGACACCTTGCTGGTGTTCTGCCATCAATTGGGGAAGGGGGGGAACAAATGGGAAATAAAGCTGTATACCTTTATGATAGGAAATTGGGAGGGGGAATTGTCATGTGAGAAAGAACAGAGTGGTTTGGAATCCAGTTCGTGCTAGGCTGGCATCTTCAAGGCTGTCTACCTTGAGAGTGGAATTTCACCAGCACAAACACCTCAGCATTTCCCAAAACATTTTTGTGGTGCTGGATTGGCTACTCACAGATAGACCACGGGGGCAGGGGGAGGCTAGGGGAAACCAGGAGTTTTAGTTCTGTAATGGTGCACAGGGATTTTAGATTCTGCTTGACTTTACTGCAATGTGTCTCAGTAAAAGTGCCTTTTCACTTTAACCAAATGGAGTTGAGAGTTTTATTTCACTAAGACAGTGGTTCTCAACCTGTGGGTCGGGACCCCATTTGGGGTCGAATGACCATTTCACGGGGGTCGCCAAACAGCACAGTCCACCATTTTTTCCCCTTTTCCTTAGCTGTGCTACTCCCTTTTATTCTATTGGCTTTTGAAAGCCAATAGAATAGACTCTCTTGAATAGAGTCTAATTCTATTGGCTTTCAAAAGCCAATAGGAATTGTCCAGGCTGTCTCTGCCCTGCTGAGCCCGCCAAAAGTCCCATTCTGCAAACTGTGCTGCACCAATTGAGTAGTCCTTGATTTACGACCAGTTGAGTAGTCCTCGACTTACGACCGGTTGGGGGTCACGGCATTAAAAAGGTTGAGAACCACTGCACTAAGAGATCAAACTGGGGCAGGTCTGACATTAAGCAGAATCTGCAATTGTAGCCAATCCAGAAAGGGTATCACCTCTACCATGGGTACCATACCCACAATGTTGGCTCAAGGGATCAAACAGGAGATCAAATGCTGGAGGCTTTGTCCACGCCCCCTCCCAGCTGGATCTCTCCAAGTGGACAAGAGAAGCGGAGAGCTACAACGACCTGCGGAGACCCAAGTGGTTCCTAGGCATTGGGAGGAAAGAGGACTGATAAGAAGAACCTACAGGGGTGACTTTTACTGATGGGAACCATGGCAGCTGTCAAGAGGAACAGAGAGTGGAGCTGGAGGAGGAGGAGGAGGAGGTAGGCAGAAAGCATGGCCAGGCCAATTGGATGATGGAGCAAGCAATCAAGTTTATGTGGGGGGTTGATGATGAACCGCATCCAGCCTCACGGACTTATGGGGCAACTGCATCCACTGCAGCAGGTAGCAGGGGAGCTGGATTTGCAGTAATAGCAACAGCGATAACCCCAGTACCTGGAGGGGTAGCCTATGCGGGCCTAAGGTGCTGGCGCCAGCAAGGACAAAAAGCCAAAAGATTGCACCGCTGAGCATGAAATTTGACAGGGATCCTCAGCAGTTGAGGTTCTTCCTGTCCCAGGTGAGATGTGTCACCATGGCCCTGGAAGGGGCTGCAGCGAGGTGGATGTTCACCCTCCACAATGACAATGCCCCAGAGCTGAGGAACTTTGATCCCTTCATGAGAGCACTCAGTAAGAGCTTTAAAGACCCTTTTGCCAACTGCAAAGTCAGGCACCACATCAAGACCATCAGCCAGGGCTGAAGCAGCATAACGAGTACACCCAAGAGTTCCACGACCTGACCTGACGGCTGAATGATTGGCCACAAGACATCCTGATCATCTGCCTCAATGACCACCAGAAAGAATTTAGAGTGGGGGAATGTATCTACCCACCAAGTATCTAAACCTGAGGCAACCTTGCAAAAGTTAGGTGCCAAATATATAGGGATTTTCCAAATCATTCAGATCAAGAATCCTGTCACAGTGGAGCTGAAATGGCCAAAAAACCTCAGGCGGGTCCATTTGATATTTAATTGTAGTCTTTTAAAATCCTTTTACGAATCTGGCTTGAGGCCAGTCCAAGAACCTCCCACTGTAGTTAACGGAGAGGAGCACTATGAGATCAAAAAGATTCTCAACTCCAGATATCACAAGGGAAAATTACAATACCTAATACTGTGGAAAGGCTGGCCGCTAGCAGATGCTGAGTGGGTGGCTTCTTCTGATGTTAGGGCAGCAAGGTTAGCTAAGAAGTTTCCTTATAGGCACCCCCAATGGTTCCAATGAGGGATATGACCTCAGTTGAGTTGTAAGTAATGGCAGCATTAGAAGGGGACAAGTGGTTCCAAGATCACAAAAATGAATGTACAATAAAAGAGGGTCTAGCCTGGGTAGGGGTTAAGCTATACGTTCCTGAAAGCTAGATTACTAATCTTGGAGAAGAGCCATGATTCCAAAGCTGCAGGGCATTTGTGTCAGATGTCCAGCTAGCAAATCCTGGGACATTGTTCTTCCCAAAATAATACTTTTATTAAATACACTAAATTGGCACAAAAGAAGCAAAACTAGCTCTGAATTTCCCACTCAAATGTCCATATAAATTTGAATTCCCCCTTTGACCACTCTCCTTAGTCCATTGCACTGTCCAATCACTACGCTCCATTTCTTATGGCAACTGCCTGGATCGTTCAATCACCTGCATAGTGTGTCCTTGGAGGGGGAAGCAGAGTCTCATGATCAGCAGATGGATTATTGGCATTCCATTCCCACCACAGGTGAGTCCATCACCCCCCTCCCAATTGTTGTCAAGTTGAGAGTGGAGTAAAAATTAGTGAATCACTCTTGACATGCTGACACACACACCCCGAGAAAGCGATACATCTGGAATGAACTCAAATACACAAAAGCATAAACAATTTGCAATTTACAAAACACTGTTTCACTTTGGTCATTTAGGGTACTTGGCGTGAAACTTCTTTATTAGTCTGGCTGCTTTAACATCCTTTGACACCACCCATTCTATAGGATACCCCTTCCACTGCACAAGATACTGCAACTTTCCCTATGGTGTCTAGAGTCCAACATGTCCTTAATCTCATAGTGTTCCTCCCTTTTTATAAGGATTGGAGATGGAGGGGTCCCTCTGACTGGCCTTAGCTTGGAATCTCAAAAGGAGTTTAGCACACTGCAATGAAACACTGGGTGGACCCACCTAAGACTTCTTGGCATCTGTAGCTACACTGTCACTGGGTTTATAAACTGAACAATGGAGAGAGGACCTATATACTTAGGACGCAACTTCTTACAGGGCTGTCTTAGGTTTAAATACTTGGTGGACAAATATACTTTTATCATCTACCCTGAACTCCCTTTGATGGGCTCTTTTCCGATCAGCTTGCTTTTTCTGGGCCTCTCTTGCTTTCCCTAGTGTCTTGCAGACAGTAACCCATGTGCCTCTCAGTGAGTCCATCTATTCCACCAGTGTTGCAGAGGATGGTGTCAACTGTCTAGTTGGCATTTCCAAAAAAAGAAACTTCTGGGACATGATTTTACCAAGAGTATAATACTTTAGTGAAAATTTACATCGGCACAGAAGAAGTGAAATCAGCTCTGGTTTTCCTGCTCAAAAGCTTATTTAATTAAAAAATAAATTCCCTTTCCCCACCTACGGAGTGTTCAAATTGTCCAATAGTAATACTTCTTGTTATGGGAAAAGTCCATTTCTCCATTGAGCACCTGCATTAGTGACCTTGGCTTTATTAGCACCAAGCTCTCAAAGATGTCTTGGTTATCTAGATACTATCCCTCCCACTTTTGCATTCTACAATCTTGCCAAGCTTCCTGGTCAAGCAAGGAAGAAAATGTAGGTGAAATGGTGAATCAGTCTTGATATGCCGACCCGCCCTGGAAGAAAGGTAGACCTGGAACAAGATTAAACATACATACATACATACACATTATTCCGTACAATCCAACTACTGCTACATTCCTTAATGGGGCCATTGAGGATACCTAATATGAAATTTCTTAACTAACCTTGCTGCTCTAATAGGGACAGCCACCCACTCAGTGTCTGCTAATGGGTAGCCTTTCCATAGTACTAGATACTGTATTGCAGGGAGGGGGGTTTGGGATGCGAGCTCAGTTAGCCATAACCATAACTCTGTCCTGGGAACCCAAGGACAACTGGGCCCAGAGCTGATAGTGTTTAGGCGGGCTGGAGAACTGGGGAAAAAGCCTGTGTTTTAAGCTTATTGGGGAATATGCTTTATGACTGTTTATTGGGGGTGGGAATTGTACATTGTTACTTTGTATCCAGGGGAGGGGAATGTAGTTTTTGGTTTCAACTATGTAGTACCAATACTTTTTTTCCCGAATAAAAGATTCTTTAAGGAAAACAATGCCTCAAAGTTCTTTTGAAGGGTTTCATTTGTCAGAACCATGACATTAAACTAAAGACTACAATTTTTACCTAGCCATCCTGGGGACCTGAGTTCCAGTCACTGTCCCTAGAGTCGAGGCATAGACCAACAAAGATTGGAGGAAGATCTCAACATGGAAAAGGAAGGGGCTCCTGAAAGCAGCACCTCCATGGCTGCTACCTCAGAGGAGGTAGCGCAGGCCAGCGCGCTGGCGGAGAAGGACATTTTTCAGGTCTCCCAGGTGGGGGCAAGACCCAAGCCATGAGGACAATTGATCTGGTCGTCAGACTAGACCCTACCCAGTGGAGACTCCAGACACCTCGAGACAGACTTGCCAGAATCAAGTGCTTTGAAGGTGGACGAGGTCAAGCTGCAAAGAGAGGCTTCTCACAAGCCGCGTTCCACGGACCAATGGAGAGCCATGAAATCGACTACTGCTGAGGACTCTGGTGAGTGGAAGTTAACTGTCTGCAGTCCGTAGTCAATCAGTGGAGAAGTTGGTAGAGAGATTTGAGGAACTAGAGATGAGAAGTGGGGAACAACCCTCCTGTTCTCCATACGTGATAGATCATGATGATCGGCAGGGCAGTCACCAAGGAAAAGCCCCAGTCCCACCTGCACAGGGCAAGCAGCTCCCCCATCCATGAAGCCACTTACAATAGCCTCCAGCCCTGCAGAGAGGAACAGCTCCAGTCGCCACTCCAGACATAGCAGCCTGGATCGCTGTCGCCCTTCCAGAAGCCCAGATCACCACCAGTGAGATCCCGAGCTGTCACTGAGACAGCAGAAGCCCAGACAGACATGCCTACCGGCCACCCAGCCCGAAGCCTCTACAGCAATGGGGGATGCCACAGGCCCCACAGTTGGGAGGCCAACAGTTGCTAGTGGTGCAGCAACAGCATGGGGGCCTTGCTGCAGCCGGGGATAATATAGCCGCCAGGGGGTCTGCAACTGTTGGGAGTGCAGCAGCAGCAGTGGAGCTGGCCACCACCTCTGAACGTGCAGCAACCGCTGAGGGGGCCGCAACCACTGGGGATTCTGCAACAACCACCACTGGGGCCGCAGGGGGGGACTACAACAACCAGGGATGCCACAACCACCTGTAGGTCAGCAGCAGTGGGGATGGCAACAGCCCCCAAATGTGCAGCAACCATTGGGAGGCCTGCAGCAATTGGGGGTGCTAGTTTAGCAGCTGCTGAGGCC